TGAGACTAAGACTAAGACTAAGACTAATCGATACGTCTCATCAAACTCCACAACGTAGCCTACCTGATTTTAATTAATTTTTTTTGTAGTTGAAATTTTTAAAAAGTGTTAGTAAGTGTTTTACGGCACTAGCAACACAATAAGGTCATATAAGTGCCGAAGATTAGAGGTGTTACAAGAGAGTAACAAACAACAAAAAAGGAGGGGAGATAAAGGCTATAGATGTTTGATAGGACAGAAGGAGCAAACCACACCAGAGCACCCGCCAACCACTCACATTGAAAATTTGACATACATTAATGTGGAATGACGGTACAGTTCAGTATCATCTTGGCGCAAGTCCACCAGATCTTCCAAAACAAACATATTTGATGCTGATTGAAAGGTTTAATTTGATCAAACGGTATGTCTTGAAGTCAAAAACTAGGCCAGTGTTCACTGTTCGGGTCCGGATAAGCGGATTACTTTCTCCCATTCGGATAACACTTTTGGACGCTTGCCTTGTCTTCTATCTTTAATCACATACGTACGCTACTCAGATGAGCTGCTTGAAATGCACGAAAAACCCCAACAAAAACAAAAACAAAAAAAAGTTAGATTTGGAGGACGTGGAAAAAACCAACCCCAAAAACAAACAAACAAACAAACAAACAAACAAACAAACAAAAAGAAAAGCCAAGTCTAAAAATTCCGCGGGCAAGCCATTGAGACGAGATAGACGAGGGAGCGAGGCCACTTGGGAGCTCTTACGTCACACTACACGAGGGTCCTCCCTGACACTTAGCACTTCCTTTGTGTTTATCATCTCTCTCTCTCTTTCTCTCTCTCTTTCTCTCTCTCTCTCTCGTTCTCTCTCTCTCGTTCTCTTCTCTCTCTCTCTCTCTCTCTCTCTCTCTCTCTTCCTCTTTCTCTCTCTCTTTCTCTCTCTCTTTCTCTCTCTTTCTCGATTTCTCTCTCTCTCTCTTTCTCTCTCGTTCTCTTCTCTCTCTCTCTCTCGTTTTCTCTCTCTCGTTCTCTTCTCTCTCTCGTTTTCTCTCTCTCGTTCTCTTCTCTCTCTCTCTCTCTCTCTCTCTCTCTCTCTTCCTCTTTCTCTCTCTCTTTCTCTCTCTCTTTCTCTCTCTTTCTCGATTTCTCTCTCTCTCTCTTTCTCTCTCGTTCTCTTCTCTCTCTCTCTCTCGTTTTCTCTCTCTCGTTCTCTTCTCTCTCTCGTTTTCTCTCTCTCGTTCTCTTCTCTCTCTCTCTCTCTCTCTCTCTCTCTC